TATTCTTATTAAATCTACTTTAATTTTACAAAGTATTATAAAAATCCGTGGTTATAGTCTACTCGGTCCTCCAGGTACGTATTTTATTATTCTAAGTCTAGGCTATTATCTTTTTGACAGTTCATACAAAATTGACGATATCACTTTTTAATAGAATCGAGTATACTTACATACGTTTTTGTATTACACCTTTAAATGATTAAGTCAACCTAGAAGCAATTTTAGGGATTTAGTCAACGGAGCAATAAAAAAAATCGATGGATTATGAGCCGTGCGCAATAAATAACTATTGTTATTTTGGACAGCCTATGGTGTCAAAATTCTAAAGATGTTTTTGAAAATAATGGGTGGGTAATCATTTATTAAAATGTATATTATTGTATTACTCTTCAGTTTGTAAAGGAACTAGCGATTCGCCCAGGCTTCGCACGGGCGATTTCTGGATCTCGACAACAGCGCCAGCTACCGGATCTAATTGAGCTTTAAGCCAACCAGGGACCGACTCAAATACAAACAAAATAACCATAAAAATCGTTGGAGCCGTTTCCGAATTTTAGCAAGACTAACGGACAATAAATGGTTTTTATATATAAGATATATTGTTTGCATAACGTCCAGTCCAATATTTTTACTGGCCGCTAGGTACACAGAGCTTACGTTTACTTTTTCTTCGTTGGCTTTAGTACACTTTGGTTTAGGCAAGCAGGAAATAGCAGGCGGATAGACATTCACAGTGCCGCAGACTTTGGGCGTATTTAGACCGAGGGGAAAACATGGAATTTTTTTAAACTTTGTAATGTGTTAGTACAAATTAGGTGATAATTTCCATAATCATATGCGAAAACTTTGACAATTTTTGGTGTGAAAAAACTACACAAAGTAGAGTTTTGTATACATTCATTACTCCCAAGTGTAAAATTGTAAGTATTAGTTCAATGAATTTGGCGTTTTGTACGGGAGGAATATAAAGTAATTTTTTTTTAATTAAAGTATGCACCGTTGTTATCTATGCACATTTTCCATCTCGTAGGTAGTTCATTGACCCCTTTACTAAAAAAAATCATGAGGGCGAGACTCAATAAACTCCTTAAAGGCGGTTTGGACTGCCGCATCGGAGTTGAATTTTTTTAAGAAGTTGTCCAATTTTGGCAAAAATGGTAATCTGTAGGAGCAAGGTCCGGGGAGTACGTTAGATGTCGCAGACATTCCAATCGTAGCTCATCTAACTTAGTGGTTGTTTGTTATGAAGTGTGTGGTCTTGCATTGTCGTGAAGCATGGATCCACTTCTTATATTCCACTTTGGTCTCCGGCCGCCCACGGGGTTGATTCTGAAGGTCGAAATTTCCAGAACGAAAACGTTGAAACCAAAAACGTACCATGCTTTCTTTTGCGACACCAGCGCCGTATACATCATTATCACTTCGAGCACGCACTGGTGTTTCTGCAGCACTGGTGCCACGGTAGAACTCGTACTCGTAAATATACCGATATTTCATGTTTTTCATTGTGCGGTAACAAGCGATGTCAAAGAAAAAAATAATGAGGAAAAAACAAATGAATGACTGTTTTCAAAACTCAAATCTACTGGCTAAATGAATTTATAAATTTGAATTTGAATTCCTTAACCAAAGAGAAGATATTTCAGATCAAAGTGGTCAGTACGACAAAACACTAATTTCATTTGTAAAGACCTAATAAATAAGCGAGTAATTTTAATGAAGGGCTCTTTTACATGTTAAATATTGAAATGGTACAATTTGAATATTTGCTGGATTAAATAATAGTTGATAAGCAAAACGTAAGATTCCATTATGACATTGATCTATTTACGACACTGTAAACTGATCAACTGCTGGCTTGTTAAGACATATGACGAAATAGAATAGCGTCTACTCACGCTTGTTATATGATCCATCAGTAATTTAAAAAATCGTGTACAATATTTTTCAGGTTGCATAATACATCATGCCTTTAAATATGATAATAACTCAAAAAGTCGATCACACCTATAGTGGTGGGGATCACATTTCGATTTTGACTCTTGCCCTGATGTAGTAGTCAACTCTTTTTTCGTACTTTAGTTCCTTTAGAACTAATTCTCTGAAAAAAACTTCGCTTAAAAATGATATACATGTTATGATGTGTATATAATCAATTTTGCTACCTACTTTATTCTCATAACAAAATATGTTACAATGTGTAATTTTATTAATAAGTATTTATGTATGGGTGTGTTGTAGAAATTCCTTTAATGCACCTCTATGTTACTGTTACAGCCTATTAAAGTCCACTGCTTGGCCTGCCCTATAGATTGCCTCATGTGGGGGATTTTTACCATAGCTACTACGTTTGGCAAGCGGTTTGGCACCATAGTTTTTTATTTTTAGTCGTTATAAAGAAACCACTGCTGCTCTTCTCCCGATTTGTTTCACTCTTTTGCCTCTTACGACACCCATGTGATGATATAGGTTAGCGGATATTCTTACGCCACCACCACACGATGGGTACCTGTATGAGAAAAACGTTTTATTTCAAATACTTGCTGCATATAGGCGAATATTTTCATTTGGGAACCCATGCTGCTCTTTATTATTATTATTTCAACAATTTTTGTCGAACATCAATAAAAATAATAATATAACATAAACACTCACGCCTGTCACCCAGAGGGGTAGGCAGAGACTACGGACTTCCATTTGGCACGATCCTGACATACCTCTTTCGCCTCCTTTACATCCATATATCTACGCATACATGCTCGTCGGTTAAGGGTACTTCTAACGTGGCCCCTTTTCAAAATATCGCCAATTTGGTCGATAAACTTTTTTCTAGGGCGTCCCTTCCCGACTCGGCCGTTCACATCTGCCATATAAATTTGCTTTGTCACTCTTTCCTCATTCATTCTTTCTACATGACCAAACCACAAGGAATAGAGTGAATGGGGCACTACACTCTATTATGAAGAACCAGAATGTGTCAAAAAAGGCACGTATGGTAATTCATAATGCTGTGTTAGTCCCTACTTTAATGTATGGTAGTGAAAGCTGGGTGTGGCAGAAGAAGCACGAAAGTAGAATAAATGCTGTAGAAATGCGGTCTTTAAGGAGTATGCTAGGGTTAAATCTGAATGACAGGGTGAGAAATTGCGTGATAAGAGATAAATGTGGTTTGCAAGATGAAGTTGTGACCAGGATTAAGAAAGGAATGCTTCGAACATCAATACTTTGTGAAAATCTTCCACAGCATCCACTACCTTCAAATACTGCTCGTTGTCACTCTACTTCTCTTAAAAAAATATTTTTTTTTCATACGATTAGAAGAATATTTAGCTACGGAACCTTAAAATTAAATAAAATTCACCTAGTTGAATAAGGCTGCATGCAACCCATATCTTTGCATGTTAAGGAAATTTCGATAAGATACTATCGTTAATGTCAATCTCTACAAAAGTGAGTTTAATTCATGTATTACTTTACATTAAATTTCTTTACATTCAGATGAATATTATCATAAAATGTGATCATTTTTTCCATCCATTTCAGTACAAATTATCTGTACCTGCTTTCAAACACAATATTTAGACAGCTTAACATTTCAATCGTACCTACGAGTTAAATGAATTGTAATATAGGATAACTTTCTGAGTTGGGTATTTAGATTCTACGTACTTAGTCATAATTAATTGCACCTATAGGATACTAATTTTCACTTTAAAACCTAGAATTTTGCAAATACAAGCAGGATTTATTTTGTTCACGAATGACTGTGCCAATACAGACCAATAGCGTGTACATAAATGATCTAGCCAAAGAGATTTAAATATACATAATTTAATGTCTTTGGATCTAGGCTATCTTTCATGCTCTTTCTCTTCTCTTTTGCAATTTCAATCTATTCTAAAGTCAGTTAATACAATAGAATTGAAATTGAACGAGGTGAAAACCCGTTCTGAGGGAACCCATCCATATCCAATGTAAACTTTATACCGTAAGATCAGAGATATAACTAGATGCAGTATCAGAGACACGTTAACTACCAAAACACTACCCAATCCAAATATCGACTATATGTGTTTTTACATTCACGTTGTAGTTTATGTGATTGTCACGAGCATTGAATATAATTCAATAATGAATCCGACTATACACAAGGCTGTCAGCAATTTTTTACCGCAGATAGTGATAGGTATAGATACTGAAAACCTCAGGCGAACGCTACACGCGTGATATTTATCACGATCTGGGACGCGATCTGGAATAACGTATCGCGATCCATATCGACACACCCTACACGTTCATTACGGATCACGTCAGTATTGGGTACAAAACAGTTAAGTGCAGACATATCTAAAATGGACCAAAATGTAGAAAAAGTTTTTTTTATAGGTAACAAACGAGCACACAGTCCACCTAATGATAAGTGGTTGCTGTGGCCTATAAATATCTACATCTATTCTCGATTACAAATCAAAAGGTAGATGCATTGTCACCCATGAGGACTAAGATGGAATGCCTCGTTTCCAGCAAAAAGGGTCTCCGGTTCTCTACACTCACCATACGAAAACGCATTAACTACTAATTACGCTATTCTGAGAGCGTGATCCTTCCCCGGTCGAGCCGACCCATTCGTGCTACAACTATACTACTAATATAACTACAGCATGGCTCTACCACATATAAACGCTTGTCTAAAGCTTGTGTGGCTACATTATGGCAATAATATTAAAAAGGAGAGTGTCGATATTAACGATTTTTTTCTAATATCTTCCATTGAAATTTTTTAACTTCTGAAGTGCCTTCATGCGCTTACAATTGTTTTTAAAACCATCATACGTCACCGTCACCCATAGTTACAGTCGCTCAATACAAGTTGATTAGTAACCTTGGTAACCAAACAAACGTGCTTGCATGTTTGTTGCAAAGATAATGGAATAAAATAATTTTGGACGAAACCTTAAGCCGATCGATAAAACTGATGTAATTCAAGCTGATCACGCGATATGGCCGAGACAGAGGTAAGCCCGGTTCCGTTACTTTTCAATTTAATAATTAATGTGACTTACGTGACATGCAAACGGGGGTTGGTATGCCAACTTTTGTTTCGTTCTATACTTTTATTTTAACGACATAGGAATTTTCGACGTTGATAAATTATCAGCAGTTGAATCATGATATAACTATAATAACTACGAGTATGTAATTTATTATCAACTAGAGTTTCCAGGAGTACTTTTTAATTATAATAAGTAATTATAGTTTTTTGTTAATAACTTAACCGAATTATAATAATAAATAAATATATATTGTTATAGCAGATATCTAAAAAGAATAATAAATTATCTAAAACTGCAGAGCAACACAACAGTAACACAAGTGATCATGGACGATCTTCAGAATCAATCAGTAAGTAAATTACATCTTAATTGTATTTCTATAACAGTGCATATATTATAACTGCTTAAGAATATCCACTGTCCCATACCTTGGTTTGGTGCTGTAAGAGGCGATAGAAGGAAAACAAATCAGGAGATGGATACTAGCATCTTCCTAACAAAAACTAGTAAATGAATAACTGCGTTTGCCAAACGTAGCAACTCTGGCAAATATCTGCTTGCTGCTACAATCTATGGGGAACATAGATGAGATAACCAACTCCACGGAAACATAGGCCATATATCCGTGGTGTTTGACACATATTTTTTTAATATCATTACCAATTGAATACCATGCTGTTCGATTTTTCATAGTAGATCGAATATGAAATCTCTACGCTTGATTAGAGGCTAAGTTTTCTAGATAAAAATGACTTGATGATATCCTAAAATGAAATTTATAGGAAATGTAATGGTATTTGTACACCGACTTCAAAAAAGAAGGTGATTGTTAATTTGATTACATTATGTTCTTTTTTTGTGTATGAATTCTTCGTTATTTTTGAATAGACTTTATGATCATTTTCTATCAAATGGTTTATAAAAGAGGTTGTCGCAATGAAATTTGAAAATAGAAAACACGTTTAAGGGTGGCAAAATAGTGAATGAAATTTTGATATAACCGCTTAGCTTAACAAAATTTAAGCTTGTGAAATTCCACCATCCACTCAAAATGGATAAATATTTTACTTTTAGTAAAAAGTAAAGTTGCCTTTAAAGAACTAAAATGGAATCAATTAATTTCCACATAATAGTTACTATTGACAGGGTTTCGATACATCTATACACTATATCTTACCCCGGACTTCTGAATCATACGTGGAAATTATTTTATTCATAAACATAAAACATAAACACTCACGCCTGTCACCCAGAGAGGTAGGCAGAGACTGCAGACTTCCATTTAGCACGATCCTGACATACCTCTCTCGCCTCTTCCACATCCATATACCTACGCATACATGCTCGTCGGTTAAAGGTACTCTTAATTTGGCCCATTTTTAGTATATCGCCAATTTGGTCGACAAACTTCCGCCTAGGATGTCCCTTTCCGACTCTTCCATTCACTTCTGCGACATATATTTGCTTTGTCAGTCTTTCCTCATTCATTCTTTCTACATGACCAAACCACCGAAGCATTCCTTTCTTAATCCTGGTCACCACAGTTTCTCACTCTGTCACTCAGATTCAGCCCTAACATACTCTATTTTATTCATCGCCAACAAAATTGGATTTGCTTGTTACGAAACTCAAATTATAGTGGCAATGGGCCATTCATCTTCCTGAAGACAGCTCATAGGAAAAAAGTATCTTGAGTAGCAGCATATTGAATGCCATGTGCATTGTTCAGTTCACTCAATGTCACTGCTCAGTTTTTATCAGTTTTTCTTAGGGAAGTTCTGTTTTTAGCAGTGGATATGTGATGGGCTACAATTACTATAACGATAATGATTTAAATGGCAAATCTCACCATCATCTATCACAGTTATTTAGCTAGCCATCTGGCACAGAAGAATCTTTGTACAACAAACACCTGGCCGCTGAGCTTTAGCACATTAAGCAAGTTTACAAGCATACAAACTTAGGCTACCGCACTTACATCCGTACTGAGTGAAATCAACCACTCTCGCACGTGTGCCTGACCATATGTCACAGGAGCCACAGACAATTTTGGCTACATCTTAAAACGCGAGCTTCCATTAGAACCATTATAAGTGGCCGAAAAAATTAAATATAACCGACGTGAAATACCCACGCTTCGGTCTGTGCCCAAATTCCAGGAGGATTTAATCCTCGCTAAATTACAAATATTTCTAGCATGGATGATTTGTGATTGTGAAATAAATATAGAAAGTGTCTTGGTTTCTTTAATTGATAAAATTATATAAAAATCGAAGCATATCACAGCAAGACTGCATTTTCTGTAGATCAGAAAAAAACATTAGAATGTCAAATACTTCAGTTCTCCCGTTACTTTGAGTGCTTGAAAACACTCGAAATATTGAGTTAAAAATAAAATAAAATTAAGCGCTATCAAATCCGTATAAGTCATTTAATTAAATGTGTAGTGTTCGCGAAATTAGGAGAAATCATTTTGGAAAGTACATTTTAAGGTTTTTTTTTTCAGGTACCCAAGAACGCACAGAAGGTGATTCCAGTCAAATTGGCCGAGGTGTGTCCATGGCATCTGTTGCGATAAACAGAGAAGAGTATTTGCAAGCCTATAGAGATTTAACTAATGAACTTCATCAACTAAGAATGAAGAACCACTTGCTTCATCGCAGATTAGCTGATTACTATAAGTATATAATCAAAGTTAACGATAAATTTATTACATAATTACGCCACGTTGACACTTCAATAAAGAAAAAAAAAACAAGGAATTCAGAAAATCATGTCTCTTTTCATAGTTTTTGTAGCATTCTAATGTTTCATAACAGCAGGTTTCATCGTCTAAATACAAAAGGTTATATGAATGAATGAATGAATGATGTCTGTTTTTAGGAAATCAATGGTGGGTAGCGGCCATGCATTTAAAATTAACATTAGTGGTGTAATTTTTTTAAGTAATCAGCGAGCTGATCTGTGAAGCTAATATTGAACTAAATGATCACTATCCGCTTATATGCGTAATGGCGGTGAGGTTATCACATTAAATGAAAATACTTATCCTAGGTAACGTTCTTTGAACATACACAACTGAAAAATATTATAGCAATTAACATTCTAGTCGCCGTTGTTTCGTTTTTTACGTAATTACCTATGTATGGACAATTGTAGGTAAATAATTACCTATATCAGGAGCATAACTACCACCATATAAGCCGTATCAATGATACAGGGCTCTCGGGCTACAGTAAGCAAAAATTCGTAAAATGCTATATACAATCTTACTCTAACTCTTAAGCCGCACTTCCCGAGAAAAAAATCATATCATCAAATAGTGCACAACGTGCCTAAAGGAGACCTATCAAAATTTAAGGCGCCGTGGCTTAGCAATGAGTTGCTGCGCTGGGGGCCGCGGTTTCGAATCTCGCTCAGAACGAGTATTTGATGGCCTACAAATAATTGTTCCGGGTCTGGATGTTTGTCCTTGTGCAATTTATGTTCGTAAACTGACTCCACGATACAGGAGAAAATACTAGTGTGGGAGTAACGTTTAAAAAATCAATCCCTCTGCTGTGTACAGTCATTTATAGAAATATGATAAAACTGTCCCAACAAGATATTTAGTAGAGGTCAACGCTGAAATAAAAGGAGTACCTCACAGAATTACAGATTCATTGGAATCTTGGCATACAATAACATTCATTAGTAACGTTTTTGGAATGCTTGCAAAAAACGCCCAGTTCTTGGCTAAAACATCTGTTGTATCAAAGAAATATAAAATACGATTTTAAATGTACATTAAAGTGATTAATTTATCCAGTATATTAAATTACGTCTACTCAGTAATGTAATTAGTGTTGGTAATTGCCTGGACAAATTACAGAATTTATAAAATATGCAATAATATTATTTAGAACGAGGAAGTTTCATTAGATTTAATTTTAATTTTATAAGTAACGGTGACGGTTTTTAATAAAATTTTTGGTTATTAAAAATTTATTAATAATTAAAGTGTATGTATTAAACTGTACTTGGGGTAAAAAGTCAGAAGAACAAATAAAAGTGAACTCCGACTATCAACCCCATCTGGGGTGGATAGATGAACACGCACGCAGTATCCACTGTAGGGAGGATTTTTTAGAGTTGATAAACTGAATAACCCAAAAAATATACTTTTTTTAGCATAATTATAAAGCGCTTGTCAATGCTGAGTAACAATTTATCTAAAAATATAAAATTACCCTTAAAAGGGTGTCCTACTAGATCCATGCTGGATTGGAGATGGATGCTCTTCAAGAAACGACGTTTTATCAGCTAAAGGGAAAAAGCATCTTGATAAACTAAACTTGTACTAATTCTGTTTATATATATTAATGTCTCAAACTAAACAAAGACTTCAGAGCCTCTGAGACCTAAGTAATGTATGAAGTATTACAAATACTTCGAATACATTACATAAATATAGATATTTAGGTACCACACAAGCTCACTGAAAGGAACCTAAGGTATCGTGTACTCATTTGCGATTATCTTTCGAAACGTAATAAAACTGAAACATTTTTGCAAAGAATAATCACTGGTGATAGGAGTGGATCACCTACAACAAGATCGTGCGAAAAAGATCTGGGTCAAAGAGTAGTCATGTTCAAAGACTGTAGCGAAACCCGGATTAACACACAATAAGGTGATGCTGTGTGTGTGGTGGGATTAGAAGAGCATCGTTTATTATGAGCTTTTACATCTGGTCAAAAACATCGATTCGGATCGCTACTGCTAACAACTAGTAAGACTCAAGCAAAAACGGCTGAAATCGACCAATAGAAAAAGAGTGGTCTCTCATCACGGTAACGCTAGACCACGCAGATCTTTAGCCACTCAGCAAAAGTTGAAAGAGCTTGGTTGGGAAGTTTTAATGCATCCACCATATAGTTCTCATCTTGTAAAATTAGATTTTTACCTGTATCGGTCTCTTCAGAATTCTTTGGGTAGTGTTAACTTCAAGAGAGGACTGTCATAACGACTTGTCGCATTTTCTGATCAAAAATCCCAAAATTTCTACAGCAACGGGATTATGTCATCTATCTACAAAATTGCAATAAGTTATCGAATAAAATGGAAAATATATATGTCATAATTAAATGTATTGAAACTTTGAAAAAAAAATGTATATATAAAATACGAAAAAACTTTTAAGGACTTTCTAAAAGGAACAAGACAAAAAAGTGTATATTTGATTTGAATTGTTTGGCTAGCTTAGTTCCAAGTCGTATTAGTAGTAATTATTAACTTATAATCAATATATCATTATTTTATTTATGCAAACGGTTTCGGGTCTTTCATTTACCCCCCCCCCCCCAACCAATCTTGATACAGGGCCCGTCTAAGGCACTCTACGCCACTGACCTATGTCAATGCCCTGTGAGCGCTGCGAACCGCCACTTTTACAGATTACTTCAGCCATAGAAGAAACAGAATAGTAGGATAACTCCCGCGCCGCGCGAGACTTAAATGCCTACTAGCAGGGTTGTCACTGTCTTTTTGTTTAACAGCTAGGTCTCATTTAGTTTTATAAGTATTTATAATATTTACAAACATAATACATACAGATACGATCCTATGAATCATATTTGTTAATCAATTCTTTAGTTTTCTCTCAAGGAATCAATGTTCTATCCTATTAATAAAAAGCTAATTTACTGAAACAAACGTATATTACAAAATAGACATTTTACGAAAAAATAAAATAAAGCGCAAAAGACTACTAGCAAAATTTTATTAAAAGTCAACAAAATTTCAAACATAGGTTATTGCGGAGTATCTGACTCGACTCGATCTTCCCGACTTAGCAAGTGTCGTTGTGGGCGAGATGTGGCTCATGCGCGTACGAGTCCGTACTGTCACGTGCCTGGCACACACACATATTAGCGGTGTTTGGTACATTTCTTAGAAGAAAGCCTACTATTCTGTTTTTACTATGCTCTAAGTCAGCAAACTAATTTTGCTAGGTGAATTATTTCGTGTAAATTTTTACGCTATTTATTTTGTTTGAAATATTCATTTTTATATTTTTTTAACTACTTGTTTTATTATTTTGCTAGACATATATTAACTTGTATTTACTGTTGTGCTATTTAATGTGATAACTTCATCGGCACACAGTATATTTAATCACCAACGACGTTAAATGCTACAGGTATTTAATCCAGTACTTGACAAAGGAAGTCCCCAAACGCTCAAGGAGCTTCGAAGGAATTCTTCGTTGCTTTTTTTAAGTTGAATAGTTTTTTCAATATTACTAAGCCTGCGTTAAAATGAATTCTAAAAAAATCTTTCCCTCCCACTTTTGTATTAATATGTAAATATTCTATAGCCGAAATCACTCCCACAATTAAGATGAATGTAATGGCACCTCATGTGTTCAAATCCACTAAGCCATTTACCACTACTGAACACGAACTTCCCCCGTTATACAGAGTAATTATACAAAGAGTATCTAAATTTTATATTTAATTTCAAATATTTAAACAATAATATACCATTACTGCAGTTTTTAAAAATACGAGTGAATAAGGCTATTTTTTCTATATTTATTTAAAAATATTCCAAAGGAGACGATCCATTTCGGGCCCGGTCTATGTACACTATACCGTAAAAAGCGAAATATTCAGAGATTTTATTAAAAATGAAATAAGAGAATTAATCAAACTAACTTACTTGCTAAAATAAAAATGCAATTTATTTTGACAATTTTGATTTTACAACATGGCGCCATTCCAGTCATAAAATTATATGGCAAATGTCATGTATAACAAGTGACTTGAGTCATGAAGTAATGTAGGTAGTGTGATATTTTTTTTGTTTATTCCGAGCTTGTTCGTGTAGTTGTGAAGTCACAAGTCGCGAATGAATTTATTGAATTTCTTTTGGATTTCTTTGACGATTTGGTTTTTTGTTTGGACTTTGGATATGTTACTACTTGTTTGACTCAACTTTTGTTTTATGGACTTCGTGATTTTGATTTCGATGATATCGGACATATGTAGAATCATATTTTGAATCATACTAGTTTCGCTAGCTTAGTTCCAAGTCGTATATATAGATTTTTAGCCATTGTACATAATAAAACTACCCGATAGGCTACCAGTGACAAGAATAACAGCATTTCAGAATTCAAATATTTGTCAATAAATTGATCAATAACCTCATGACAGTTGACAGCCAACGTCAAAACGACATCAATTCGCCATTAGTGTTGCAGTTTTTGGTAAGAATAAAATATTAACACCCCTGAAATAAAGCTAAATTCGTGGAATTGAATGGCAAAAAGTGATATAATATATTACAAAATACAAAACCAGGCCTGTGATCCATACAATTTTGGACAGTCTCCTTTAATATGATTTATGGACAACAACTTCGCGTATGCACGCTCTTCTGTGTCCACCGGTCCTTACGAATATGATTAGTACGTAGAAAAATAGTAGGCGTTAGATATTTATGAATGGCAATCAGTTAAAATAATGCACTACCAAGCGTTCTAAATTTAAAAGATATAAAGGACAAATGCTTTTTAAATTAATTTTTCTTCACCATTGGCCTCGCCTATATTATTTATTCTGAACCTTCTCTACAAACGCGGGCATATATTGCAAAATAACCCTGTAGAGAAGATTTAACTTAAACTTCATGTCGGTACCAGAGTTATCGCAACTTTAATCCGCTGCTTTCCATTACCGGTCTTTGTATTTTACGCCTACAGATGCTACTAACATTACTAATTAACGATAAAGCTGTCTATAGGAGACTAAAATCATATCAGTGATTCGCCTAATTGTCTCTTATGATACTTATGGAAGTATAGGACTATACAAGGTAATTGAGTCTCTTACGCAGTTACTGCAAGAGACATGTTTTATACGTGGTAGAGTCATTCTGCAGTTATATATAGTTGTAGCACGAATGGGTCGGCTCGACCGGGGAAGGACCACACTCTTACAGAATAAAAGCGTAAAATAGTAGCTTTGTGTTGCTGTGTTTCGTATGGTGAGTGTAGAGAACCGGAGACCCTTTTTACTGGAAGCGAGGCATTCCATCTTAGTCCTCACGGGTGATGCATTTTGATTCGTAATCGAGGATAGATGTAGATGTCTATGGGCCACAGCAACCGCTTACCATCAGGTGGAATGTGTGCTCGTTTGTTACCTTATCCTATAAAAAAACATATTTAGTACCTAAACTGTTCTTTATTAATAATATGCTTTTACTGATATTGTTAGATAAACTAAATTTGTCCTTCATGCTTCCGTCAAATATTTTAGTAAACAAAAACCTTAGTAGTGAAACAACGGTACGACATACAAATTGCCGACAAAAACTAATTAACATTAAAACATTTTTCATTACATAATTAGCGAATCAATATTATTTCGACTGCTACACTTATTAAATTTACGTTCTTTATCTCAGGAAAAGAAAACATGAGCATGTTTTAAAATCGCTAGATAATTCTGATGATTTAGAAGAAAAATACCAACAAAAGTTGTTGACGTACAATGAATTAAAAGGCAAAGAAGAAAGGGAAATGAATGAAGTAAGAATATATACAAGAGAATCACAATTTTGTTTTGGTTGTAATTCAGCCTATTTGATTGTTTCTGAAAACAAATTTGTGTTAACATAAACAAGTAAGGTGTAAGTCGGTCCTCCACTATAATTATGGATTGACAATGTGGTCACATGCAGAAAGTCGAGAGAAGCACGTGGTTTCAAGTCGTGTATTGTAGTATTCCTTAGAGGAGCCCTTTGTTTCGCAGTGAGGACCTGTAATGGTGATGATAATGAAGATGAAACTAGTGATAAAGTCTTGTTTATAAATAAGGTATTTAAATAAATTAATTTATTACCGCCTATTAAAATTCTTCTGCTGAACATGTACGTGCTGGAGGATACTTGCCATATAAGCTATTAGCCTTGTTGGCCCAGTGATCGTACGCGCCACTGATGATCATGTGATCCCGGGTTCAAAACCCCTATATCGAGATAAATTATTGGATATTTTGTCTTGTCTTCTTCTTTTAAAAATGTAGGATTTCCTCCTGTATTATGGAGGAAGTTTAGATACATAAATTGAACAAAGACAAACATCCGGAACAATTATTCGTAGGCCATACAAATCCTCGATCTGTGTAGATTTCAAACCTACTGCCCGCATCGCTGTAACTCATTGCTATCACAGCGTCTTGTAGCCGCAAAGCTAGTCGTGTGATCATGTTGTTTTAAAAAATGAGTACAATATAGATCGATTACCGTATTGGGTTTTCTCAAATTCTCAGTAGCATTCCGGAATCAGGAAGTTGGCGGTGTTTAATATATCTGTCTCTCTTTCTCTCTTGTGCTTAATATATCTCTCTTGTCGTGTCGGATTGCCATTCCATTTTATTAGAGTGAGATAACAGAGAATGCACATTTACTTGCGCTTACACTCGTGCGCTATAATCTTGTTCTGTGGTTAGCCCCAGTGACCGAAATTCGGTCTGAAGAACATTATTTGTCATAAAGACCACGCACGCACGTATGGCAACCGCAATCTTTTATTATATTGAGTTATTATTATCAGGAAGATGTTGCTTCCTATCTCCTGTTTCCAGGGGTTGATATGGATTAGTAGATTCTCTTTCGCCTACATCAAGCGACTCATATTAGCATAATAAATTAATAATATATTCTATGTTATAACTTTAAGTAATCTGTTTCATATTATGTTTATAAAATATATAATAAATTGAAACATATCTTTGCAGATAAAGTCGCAAGTTCAAGTTGTGGAAGTTCAATTTTTCGACCGACTGCAACAAGCTACAAAGAAATTTGATGACCTACAATACCTAGAGAGAAACACGGGCACCGGCCTTATTTACTCCAAGAAAGGAAAACCCATAGCTGAAAAGGTTGAAAATGCCTTTTTATAATTAAAACCTTTATATAAGGAAGGTTATGACTACTATTAATGAATTTCCACATTGTATAAAACAAAGTCGCTTTCGGCCGTCTGAACGGATAGAGCTTTTAAACTACATATCGGATTTTGATGCGGTTTTCATCAATAGACAGAATGATTCAATAGGAAGGTTCATATGTATGAAACATACATATGTTGTCAAGATCTAAAAATCACTCATGTGAAGCCGGGGCAAATTGCTAGTCTCTAAATAGTATAAAACAAATCGCTTCCAGCCGTTTGTACGTACTTAGATTTTTAGACATGTTGTCAAGATCTAAAAATCACCCGTGTGAAACCAGGGTGGATTGCTAGTCTACAAAGTATAAAACAAATCGCTTCCAGCTGTCTGTACGTTTAGATCTTTTAAACCACGCAGCGGATTTTGATACGGTTTTCATCAATAGACGGAATGATTCAATAGGAAGGTTCATATGTATGAAACATACATATGTTGTCAAGATCAAAAAATCACCCGTGTGAAGCCAGGGCGATATATATATATATATATATATATATATATATATATATATATATGTATATATATATATATATACTGCTATATAGAATATATATTGCTAGTATAAAGTTATTGCTCGAATATATAATATAGAATAGCCAGGAAAACAAGTACATTAAAATACCAACTTTCTAGCGGATCTAGTTTACACTTCCCTTTTACAGCGGTACCAATATATACCCACCAATATTGTAGAATATAGAGTTATAGGTAAACAATGACTCCTCTTTCCCACGAATCCATGGCTGCAGAGGGTAGGTATAGCATTCTGAGACAACGCTTCAGCTTAGCTTAAGCTAACCTGCCACATGGTCTTGTCTTCTTTTACCGTGGATGACAAAGCCGTGGCAGCTAAGGTAAAACCACCGTGCACCTCTTTTCTAATCTCACCGTATAAAGTTTTAGTTAAAGTGAAAGTTAGAGTTACAGCCCATATACGTCCTACTGCTGGGCACAGGCCTCCTCTCATTTTTGAGAGTTTTAGGGCAAGAAAATGTCCGCCGCGCTGTCCTAATGCAGATTGGTGAACATCACATATTTATGAAATATTTTCTCTTATTTCTCAGACATGCAAATTTCCTCACGATGTTTTTTTTCACTGCCCAGTACGTGGTATATCAGCACTTATAATTGCAATTAACAATTTCATTGGTGCTGGCAGGAATCGAACCCGGTTTGCTCACGTACTATGGAATTACGTATTTATTACAGCGAGTGTCTAGCCCCTGATATACCACGACTATCCCACAAATCTCACGGCATAACCACTCTTATTTCGCAGCATAACGGGTATTCAATGGTTTTATAGCTCTTATCATTATCAATTTTAAATGACTTAGTCATGGTTATATGTTTTCCAATTCCAGACCGTAGAGAGACTGCTTACCTTGCAGAAACATAAATGTGAGCAAGCGTCAGCTATGTGCCTACGTTATATTAGAGTAAGAAATGCTGTAACTGAATTGGAAACTACTGTTAGAAAATTGGAAAAACTTGGTCCAGGGCTATACGTAGCTCAATACGAACAACTATACATAGATAAACAAAATTACATGAACAAAATAGAAGGTAAAGTTCATAATGATAATATAGTAATTAATGTTATGTATAATTTTTACAGCGATAACTTAAAATATTCTTAACATTTACTCTCTCATGAATAAGAGGAAGCTTGTGCCCAGCGGTAGGACGTATATAGGCTCTAAAATTAAATTTAACTTTAATTTGTTATCATTTCATTTGCTGATTTTAGCGTGTGTAATTGACGGAATTTTTCTTCTTAAATAGAATAAGAGTAACAAACGAGCACACAGTCCATCTGATGGTAAGTGGATGCTGCGACCCATGGACATCTATATTTATCCTCGATTAAGAATCAAAACCCAGATGCGTTGTCACCCCTGAAGACTATGATGGAATGCCTCGTTTCCAGTAAAAAAGGGTCTGCTATTTTACGCTGGTATTCTGTGAGAGCGTGGTCGTCCCAGCCGACTAATTCGTGCTACAACCACAATATAGCTGCAACGTGGCTCTATCACGTATATAATAAAAAAATAATACTCTATTGAAAGTTCGTGGAATTTGGATTTTGTTGTAGTACGCGATTTACAATTTCCATGACATTTTTAGTGGAAAGGGATTATATATCCATTATCTGAATAAATAATATAACCAGGTTACCGGTTAATACAAGAAGTCTATGTAAAATTGTGTATGTGTTTTGTTTATAGAATAAGGTGACTAACTAGCACAAAGTCCGCTTGATGGTAAGTGGTTGCTGCGGCCCATAGACATCTACATCTATCCTCGATAACAAATCAAAATGCAGATGCGTTGTCACCCGTAAGGACTAAGATGGAATGCCTCATTTCCAGTAAATAGGGTGTTCGGTTCTCTAGATTCACCATACAAAACACGGCAGCATTAAGCTACTATTTTACGCTGGTGTTCTGTGAGTGGTCCTTCCCCGTCGAGCAGTCCAATTCGTGCTGCAACCATAATATAACTGCAGTGCCGCTCTACCAATGTGACGAATTTCCTAATTTATTTAAACGTGTTACATTTACTTGTGCTATTTTAATAATTAATCATTAACAGAAAGGGACGACGAATTGATTAAACATCGCACCAAATGTACTGAACATAATCAAATTTTGGCACACATCAGAGAAAAAATGAATCACACAGACGAAGTTATTGATTTTAGTCTGAGTGATCTTGGTGATACTGAACTAGAATTTTTGAAAGCCAGAGAAGAACTTGGTCAACTCAAGGTTAGTACTCTTACATAAAAAATATAATGTATCTAAAAGTGAAATTTTTACTTACCCCGCATGTAACAATATTGTTAATTTTTAAATTGGTGTAATATATGATATATGATATGATAGTATGTCATAATTAGGCAACTTGATAAGTCCAGAGACTGACATGACAGTAAAATAATTCGGCCATATTTTTTCTACTCTCATTCAGTATGTTAGTATATCCTTGTCCCCTCGTGTAGAAAGAGTGGCATCTCGCAAAACTGACACTCCCTCTCCCCCCCACCTGTTACTACCGAATCAACGGTGCTACCTCGCCATAAACGCGACACTCCGCGAGAATAGGACACGTGGCGCATGGCCGTACCAACACTCCTTTTATCCCACAATTTCACCTCAGCTGCAACAGTATTGGTAGACGGCACCCATCTCACCACAGTCCACACATCCGAAGTGGGCTTGCTTAGCCCACTTGGAGTAGCCACCTCGATCCAGGCTTCTTTACCTCAGTTCAGTGATATAGGTTCCTCTTCGCTCACTATGGACGAACAAGCCACACGTGACTACGGAACCTCTACATTGTGCTTGGCTCGGCACGCACTCGGCCAGTTCTACGTACAACATTGATATTTAGTGAGATTCTCTGATTCTCAATATTATTTATTTATATTTTATTCTATAACGTAAATTACTATAACTTCTAGTATCTTTTATAAAATTATAATTTTTTAGTCCCTACCGACACCAAGCGCTCGCTGTAAATTTCACATTACGCGTGCAACCTGGTTTCGATACCCACCGGCACCAATAAAATTGTTAATAATTTACAAAAAACAGCATTTAAAGTTGCAATTATTGCAATTTTAAATGCTGATTTATTAAGTTGTCAGCAGTGAAGGAAAACATCATGAGGAAAACTGCACGTCTCAGTTATAAGAAAAACGATTTCGAATACACGTGTGAAGTTCGCCAACAAGCATTGGGGCAGCGCGGCGGACACTTCCTTGCCCTAAAAGGGGCGGCCTGTGTCCAGCTGTGGGACGTGGATGTAGGAGTGGTGGTGGGATATAGGCTGTAACGTTAACTTTCAACTATCAAATCAAATTTTTACTTTATATGAACGAAGTGGCATACAAACATCTGGCTCACCGAATGGTTAGTGATTATGGCCGACTTTTGAGGAAGTAGTAGGCTACCTTTACTTTATTTTAAAATATTTCTAGATTTTAAAATTAAGAAATGTCTACACTTATTTTTAAAATATATTAGCTGTAATTTGTGTTCATCAGTGGAAAGTATCTTTAACTTTTTAAATAACCTACGTTAAAGTGCGGCAAATATGCGAAAGAATTGAGTCAGGTTTATATCTAAAGGTAGGTAGGCTTTGTCTACTACTCCTCATGGCATATTAAAATTAATTCATAATTTGTAATGTTTGTCAAAACTAAATTGAAAACTGGATAGTAAATTGCAGAACAACAATAAACACCTTAATCGTTCCTTTATTATATCAAATTTTTGCTATCATACATAATTTTGCAATGCGCCATTGCGACGGTGGTATCCATGAGAAAAATGGGCGTTGTCCTATATCATGAGGGAAACCACTAACTTTCATTCGTAAAATGTTAATGGTTTACACAGTACAGATATTGTTAACAACTTTAAATAAAAAATTATATTCACAAGACTTAAGACAAAAATTAAATTGTGGAATGGACTTTGTGAACCTTAATCAATATGCTTGGTAGTATAGCGTATATATTATAGTTGTAGCACAAATGGGTCGGCACGACCGGGGAAGGACCACGTTCGCACTAAATACCAACGTAAAATAGCAGCGTAATACTGCTGTTTTCCGTATAGTGACTGTAGAGAACGGGAGACCCTTTTTACTGGAAACGAGGCATTCCATCTTAGTCTTCACTTGTGACAACGTATCTGCAATTTGATGCTTAATCGAGGATAAATGTAGATGTCTATGAGCCACAGCATCCACTTACCATCAGGTGGACGGCGTGCTGGTTCGGTTTAAAGAACTTTATTTCTCATTAAGACAATAAGTCACTTACATGAGAACAATAACATATTATATTATAGTTCTAGTGCGTGTGGGTAGTAAAAAAATAAATAAAAATTATACCGGTCGATCGTTAACCAAGAAGCGAGTTCATTGTATTCCTATCAACTATAAGGCGGTGGTCCAAGTATAATTTTAATGCATAGTTTCATCATTATAAATATATTCAAATAATCTTCTTTTAAAAATATTGATTGAAGTCGCTTCTTTCACATGTTTCGGAAGTTGATTGTATAACTGTGCTCCCCCAAATGTTATGTTATTTTTTCCATAGTTTGTTCTTACGGCAGGTAACACAAAATTGCTTTCTCGGCGGGTTATATATTTGTTTATTTGACTTTTTGTTGTGAATGTTATGTGTGAGTGAATAAGCTTGTGAGTTATCTTGTAGATAAGTAGACATGTATTATACGTAAAAATTTGTTATATATATAATTGTTGTAAATCGTTTTCGATGGTGTTAAGAAGTCATAGTTGTGTAAGATTTTAATTATTTTATTTTGTAATATTTGTATTGGTTTTAAATTACTTTTAGCTGCAGTACCCCTAGTAGCATATTTCGATTTGATACAGTAAGTGAGGCTTCACCAAGGTATTGTATATTAAAAGTCGAGCATGTTTCGGTATATATCGAACTATTTTATGCAGTGCGCCCACAAGTGAGGAGAGTTTGTTGTGAATATATTGCAAGTGAGCTTTCCATGTAATGTTTTTGTCCAGTGTTAAGCCTAGGTATTTTTCTTGGTTAACTTGTAATATCTCACCGTTAATGCTAAGTTTAGGTCGATCAGGTATTTTTCTATTTTTGGAACTAAATATTATGTATGAAGTTTTAGAAGTATTAATTGTTAATAGATTGCACTACTATACTGGTTTATCATCCCTATTCTATAAAAAAAGCAATTCACTACATAAATTGTAGAGCAATGCGGTTTAATATTATTATCCTGTCTATATGTTTAAAAATGTATACTATATATATATATATATATATATTTATATATATATAGCATTTTCCCATCAGTTTCTTTTGTAACTCTATCAATTAGTACTTAGTATACTGTTTTCCCAATGTTAAGAATGCTTATACCACGGTAGTTTTATATTGTGGAAATGTAGACGATATGTTATCGAAATAAATTATTATTATTATATATATATATATATATATATATATATGTGTGTGTGTGTGTGTATGTGTGTGTGTGAATATAGAGGCTCTTCGTTGATTTTTGCAGGAAATAAATTTAATACCTAAAAAAAATCAAAGCTGTATACGCACGTATGAAAAAAAGTTAAAATACAGACTAATATAAATATTATAACGTTTGCTTTTTCATACGTGCAATCTACCTGTGTAAAAGCAAATACTCGTTATGACTAATATAAGTACAAACCAAAAAGAAATAAAACAAAATTAAAAAAATATGTATATAAATTTTATAAAATATTTTTTTAAATAAAACTTAACTTAACAGAATCACCGTAACAGACTACGTTGGTCGCTTGAAGCTGAACGACTAAAGGCGGGCTTACTTACAAGGAAGGATTTGTTGCGTGATTATCAAAACGCCATTGACGAGGTAAGGAGACAAAGCATTGTTACTGCAGGATGGGAACATTTTAATATATTAAATTTTATCGATACTTAGCCGAATTTTTAAGTTATTTTTTTTTATTATACAGAATTAGCTTGATAAAAGAGCACACAGTGCATCTGATGGTAAGTGGATGCTGTGGTCAATAGACTACACACTACATCTATCCTCGATTAAGAATCAAAATACAGATGCGTTGACGCTATCAAGGACTTAGATGAAATTTTTTGTTTCCATTAAACACAGTCTTTAGATCACTTTGCACACCATACAGTTACACTAGTATTCTGTGAGTGTTCTTTTCTGTCGAGCCGTCCCATGCTGCAACCATAATATAACTGCGTGGCTCTACCACAAAAATAATCTTGATTTGTATTAACTTAACCCTTCAAACGCCATAAAAATCCCATGCAGTCGCATGCGCCCGGCAAATCCCGAGCGGTCGCACGTGGCCGCACCCACCTACAGCACTTAAAACCATTAAAACTTATATTTAGAGACTACTTTTCTATGAAGAAGTTTAGCATTGTAAAATCTATACAAAATTTTCTATCTTGTGGTCTAAACAAAAGTATATATATATATATATATATATATAGATATAGATATATATTATTCGAAATTATTTACTTAAAAAGATCAATTTTATTCACACAAAAACTTTCGTTACTGTTGTGGCTTCGGAACAGTCCCGATATAACATCCTTTTCCTAAGTGTTTCCTATCCTCCCGCCTCCCCCGTATACGCACTGCTCAGAATGGTGCGCCACCTATCGTCGAGAAAAAAAAGAAGCAAGATGGCCGCGCACGCATAAAACGTGTTCGTTAGCGCTTGTTTAAAAATAACCAATAAATAAGTTGTAAGACTATCGTGCTATTGCTCGTGTCCATATACATTCGAAGTGCAGTGTGGTATCTGTGTATACACGAGAACTTCAGCCTGAATATACAGACTTCACCATAACAACGATGAGTGCTCCAGTCTTGTGAGTATCCTTACCTTATCTACCCAGTTCTAAAGCTATTTTCGTTACTTCCCGGTTGGGATCATCAGGTTAGCCAGCCCTTGGTCTGGTTGTTCTCTGGTTCCCAAAACCACCCACGAAACACATTGCGAAACATTCAAGCCGTAACATAATTTCTGGTCCATACGATCCGGGTACCTATGGATTTCTATTTTTATACAGTCCGCTCCTCATAAAGATAATATCAAGTTCAATTTCTAAGGAAAACTTTGATATTTAATCTATTTTTCTTATAATTGAAAGTAACTAATTCATTTCAATTATAATCCTGCTAGACTTAAATGCTCGTGAAGTGTTTCGTATTGCTCAGACTTTGCAGACTTATCTTATTTGGTTGCGTTATAATTGCTAAGTTTATTTCGAATGTGCATTGATAGTCTTACGCTTTGAAAATTATTATAATTTGAGGGTATTTTATAATTATTGTTGGAAAAAAATACTAAATCAGTTTATGGAAATAATTAATTCGGTCTTAGAATAATAGCACTTAAGTATAAATACTTGTATATCTATGAATGTTGGGTCGTTTGTTAATTGTTATCTAATTCAAATGGTTAAAAAAAACGTTAACATTAAATTCAGTAATTGAATGTTAATTTAGTTTGGAGAAACTTAAATATTGTTTTAAATATCTGTAGTTAATAATTATACTTAACATTCATATTTAATTTTTCGCTGTTATTTTATAATCATGTCGCAAGAAGAAATGAAACTTAAACTTTATACGTCACAGCGAGAGTATGTTTTTCGTTCTATTCAAACTCTTTTCGATTTATCCACTCAAATACGGGAAGACTCCAGTTCTTCTAAAGTGAGCCAATTTAAATCTAGATTTCTTAAAATTGAGAACATTCGTGATGAATATGTGTTGCTTACGGAAAAAATTAATTCGTTAAAACTGGCACTGTTTCCTAAAGAAAAAATAGATATGCAAGCGTTGTCTGCATTTGATGATATGTACTATGAAGTTCTAAGTTTTGCCGCGGAGATGTCCCTACCGGAGCGCAAACGAGGCAGCAGCCCAACGTCCGCTGACGTTAACTACACCTTTACGCCTGACACGGAAAAGGTACAAGCTAGACTGCCACAAATTGAGCTTCTGAAGTTCGACGGAAAAATTGAGAATTGGCAAACATTTTACGACACTTTCGTAACGTTAATTCATAATAATAAATCAATCGCGAATATTACTAAATTTCACTATCTCATTTCTTGTTTATCGGGATCCGCTTTAGGGATCGCAAAGAAGGTAAAATTAACTTCCGATAATTATGAGCTTGTATTCAATGAACTTATTAAGCGTTATCAAAATAAGCGCATTTTAGCAGTGGCGTATTTAGATCAAATTAATAACTATCCTTATTTAAAAACTCCTAATTTCAATGATTTACAAACATATACTAATATTCTTTGTGAGTCAGTCAATGCCCTTAAAGCCTTAGAGCTAGATGACTTAGGCGATTTTATTTTATTTAACGCAGCGTTTCGCGCACTGGACTCCGATACGCGCCACCGCTTCGAATCTGAAAATAAATCGGAAATTCCTTCTTTTCAAAGTCTTATGCAGTTTCTTCAAAACTATGTAAAAGTTTTAGAAATAAATGCTAATGTTGACATTAGGGCGCGATCTTCTCAATTTTTAGGCGGTAAACAGATCAAGACTGTTTCACCGCGGGCACCGAACCTGAAACGTTCCGTGCTCACTACTCAGTCTAAGCCTACTAGTTCGAAGCAGCTGGCTTCACTAGAGTGCTATTATTGTGGCGCAGCACACAGTATCTATAAGTGCCCCACTTTTCAATCTTTGGACACCAGTGCTAGAATAAATATTGTCAAACAAAATAATTTATGCATTAACTGTTTACGAAAACATTCTCTTGATAAATGCGTCTCAAAAATGAGATGTTTTATCTGTAGTGGTAATCATCACACTCTGGTACACATCGACAACCAAGTTCGATTACCGACCGCGGTGACCACCGGTTCGAGTAGTGCCCACACTAACACGAGTGCGTTCGTGGGAGAGGCTCGTGGCCCGTGCGTGGTGCTGCTCGGGACGTGCATGGTGCGTGTGCAGGACTCTAGTGGCACGTTCCATCAAGTTAGAGCGCTCATCGATAGCGGCGCTCAGGACTGCTTCATCACCATGAAATGCGCAAAGAGACTTGGTTTTCAATTACGTCGATGCACCACAACTGTGGCTGGACTTGGACAACAGTCTGTGTGTCAAGTCAAGGGGTGACTCAATGCTCTATACGCCCGTGTGATTCGAATGACCCACAATTTGATATTAATCCTATAGTCATCGATAGCATTACTTCTAAAATGCCAACCACTGATATTCCTCTAGCGGTTCGAGACTGTTATAAACACTTAGTATTAGCGGACCGTGACTTTGACAAACCGTCTGATGTTGATTTATTGCTAGGTGCTGAAGTATTTCATCACATCTATGACGGCCGTGTCATTCAACCAGAGCCAGGCTATCCTGCTGGTTTACATAGCGTCTTTGGTTGGGTTCTCTCAGGACCCACCAATGTGGAGAGTCCGGTAAAATCGGTTGGCACTTCGTTAATTACTTCAACCAATTCATTGGAGAAGATGATGAAACGATTTTGGGAAGTCGAGGAACCGCCTCATCAACATATACCTGCTCCAGAAGATGAGGAGGTCGAACGCCTGTATTCCACTCAAACTTATAGGGAATCGGACGGTCGATATGTAGTCCCTATCTTATTGACGCAGTCGTCTGTCTATATGGGAGGCTCATATAATAGTTCTTTGTCGCAGTTTATAAATCTTGAGAAAAAACTTTGCCGACAACCAGATCTTAAATCACTTTATAACGATTTTATGCGTGATTATGAGCAGCTTAATCATATGCAACCAGTGGGAAAGGACACCACCCCTGGTAGATATTTCATTCCTCACCATTGTGTGATTAGTCCAGAAAGCATAACGACCAAACTTCGCGTTGTATTCAATGCGAGTCACAAGACGACTAATGGGCTATCTTTAAATGATATTGTTTACACTGGACCGAAGTTACAGGCTGATTTGGTTGACATTATTACTGGATTTCGGGTCCATAATATAGTTTTTACATGTGACATATCTAAGATGTACAGGCAAATCTTGATAAGGCCTGAGGATCGAGTGTGGCAACACGTACTATGGCGTGAATCCCCTTCCTTGCCTGTTCAAGAATTTGAACTTCGTACGGTCACATACGGAGTCAAAAGTTCGCCGTACTTAGCGATACGAACATTACATCAGTTAGCTGCAGATCACGGTGATCAGTTTCCTCATGCAGCTGAAGCTCTTCGGCATCATACTTACATGGACGATATTACTACAGGTGCTTCCTCAGTCGAAGCAGCCTCTCAGCTTAAAGAAGATTTAATCAATCTTCTTAATTGTGCTCAGCTAGATTTGCGTAAGTGGAGCAGTAACAGCCCTTTATTTCTTCGATCGTTACCCATGGAACATTGTCAGTGTCCGAAGACATTTTCTGATGATAGTTCAATAACGCTTAAGGTTTTAGGAGTTCAATGGGATCCTGCGGAAGACTATTTCACTTACTCCGTCTCTCCTGTGAATGTGGAGTTTACGAAACGTTCAATCCTGTCCCACGTTGCTCGTATTTATGATCCGTTGGGTTGGCTTTCACCTTTTATTCTTTTAGCCAAACTACTTCTTCAAAACTTATGGCGTATTGGATTGTCTTGGGATGAAATCATTCCCGCCAATCTGTGTGACGATTGGGTTTCATTTGTGTCTGACTTGTCTAATATAAAATCGATAAAAATCCCTCGTAAAACCGTGATTGATTTAACAGCTACACACCAGCTGATTGGGTTTTGCGATGGATCAACCAAAGCATATGGGTGCTGTGTCTATCTCCGATCAAGTATCGATGATCAAAAACAAGTTTCTCTTTTGATTTCTAAATCTAAAGTG